GCCATCATTACATTTATTATACTACTACTATAACTGATATTATGTGGTAATAAATGAAACTTTTTAAAATCCCTTCAAGTGTAATTTTTGGAATGTTTGCTACGAAGTAAAGAATATATCTGAAACCTCTAAGATATATATGTATTCTTGATATGACCAATAAAGTGAATTTATTTAGTTTCAGAACTACAATACTGATACACTGTTTATAAATGCAACTTAAATAATTATCAAGCATTTGGAAAAGTCGGAACTTAAAATTTTTTTAAATTATTCTAAACTTATTGAACAAACTTGTGAAAATATTGAAAATATAGATTCGAAAGGCGCGTGCTGTCCGTTGTCAGCAGTTCGACTCGGAAGCATATATTGTCCATTGTGATGACTTCAAACAATTTTTGGCGGTAGAGACGAGTTGTAAACCTTTGTAATCCTTGTCAAACCATTTGGTTTTCCAGATAAATTTGAGGAGATCCGATAAGTTTGCTTTCGTTATCTCTTCCAAGCCAAAGGAGACAAAGGAAATGGTTGATAGATTCTACCTCCTCTTCATCTTGGCAACTCCTACATAATCCGTTGAATCCGTTGAAGCATAGGTGCGATGGCACAGTGCCCCGTTAGTACTCTAGTAAGCACACGAACTGCAGGTGTGCTGAAGCCTAAAAGACTTTTCGTTTTATTTTTGTCCAAACTAGGTCATAAGGTTCTAGCGACCTCACAGTCTTCGCGGTTAGTCCATAAATTGTTTGTCACCGTGTTGGTGATTTCCTCTATTATCCTAAACAGTTCACATATTGGTGTTTGTATTGTGAGGTCGGCTTCTCCTGTATTCAGTTCAGAACCTCTTCTGGCCATCTCATCTGCTAGTTCATTCCCTTCAATATTGCTATGCCCAGGAATCCAGCAAAGAGAGACCTTGTAATGTTTGATGCTCATCAGTGAGGTGCGACATTTTAATACAATCTTGGATTTAACTATTTTAGATTCAATTGCTTTCAGCGCGGCTTGACTATCTACAAAAATCGTGATATTCGAGGGACGAATTGTTCTTTGTTGTATATGTTAAGTTTGGCCGCTTTTTCAATAGCATATATCTCAGCCTGAAAGACGCTGCAAGTGTCAGGGAGTCGGTAGGATTGCTTTATCTGCATATCTTGTGAGAAGGTACCTGCTCCCGTACCACCCTCCATATTTGAGCCATCTGTGTAGATGGTAACTGCAGAGTTACCTGTTACACATCCAAGCTCCCAGCTATATCTGGATGAATAAAACGTAGGAATTTAATACGAAATATTAAAGAATACGAAAAATTGTAATTGAAACAAATTATATTAATAGAATTATGATAATGACTAAAATACAATTATAAAACTTAAATTTTCCATGGAATTTAAAAACCATGTATCATACGAAATAATTTCAACCTTGCATGGATTTATGAATATGAATGTGATGTATGATAAGATATTAAAATGCACATGCATGCCATCATAAAATCTATAAATAAGCTATCACTGGAGATTACTTTGTTAGGATATGGTTCTCCATTTAAGCAAGCCTTCTAAGCTATCAACATAAATGACTATCCTAGTCATATATTTAAAAAATTTATATTCATTGAAAAGACTTACATAGAATTTAATTCAAATTCCTACAACAACATATATCGAATTCATTGGTATTGTTTTTGTTTGCAAATTGGTTTTGTACAATAATAATTTTCGGTACTTACTGCTTCAGAAATACTTTGTATTGTGTTTGTGATATTCGCGGCTTCCCATATCAAATAACAAAATGGCGGCAACGCAATAAAACTAACGCGAAGCTGACCGTTTTATTTATATATTAAAATTAAAAAGGAAAATCTAATTTTTACATTTTAACACTATAATAAATGTGCAGTTAAATGTTTCAATTAGTTTAAGTAAATTTTTTAAAAATTACTTAATCGTTAATAAAAATTGCTTGAATACAATGAATTTTTAAATATATTTTGTCACGGTTTGGACTCTAGTCTGTTTTTCTCCTTGCAATTTGTCATTATTAAATAAGTTGACAGCATATGACTTGTATCTTTTTTAATTCAAAAACAAATAACGTATACACTAAATATTTAACTAAACCAATTATTTCATATTTTTAATACAACATATAAATATTTTCCAACGCGAAACCAACGATCATTAAACACCTTACGACAATATCGTTACTTACGAATATGACGTTCGGGCCAGTGTTGTTAAATAATTTAATTTATATAAATTTAAGAAGTTTATATTCCACAAATTCAAATCAAACTTAGATGAAGTACATCTTATTATATATGTGGGGAGGTAAGTATGGACGAAGTTGGAGTAATAATTTAAAATCAAGTCGCTGAAGTATAACTCTACAGAATAAAAAAAATTAAAAATAATTTAAATGAGATATAATAAATGATATATAAAAAATGTACGGAGCATATCTTTTAAAATTTAAATTTTTTTGAATTTAGCTTAAAGCAATTATTATTCTAAGATGTTATGTTAAAAAATGAGAAAATTATATATTTTACTTTTTAATAAAACAACTTTATTATTATATATTAGTAATTAAAAATATATTCCACTCTACAATAGTTCTTATTACAATTTTAAATTACTCATTTAAATATTATTATTTTAATAATATTTATATATATTAATAATATTATTTTTGTTATATTATTTTCTTATTAAAATAAAAATATAAATATTGTCATTTTTGGAAATTAAATTAAAAATTTTTAATAATAGCACGTTCAGGCTGCACTAAATTGGCATATAATTAACACTGAACAACCATCTGCTATGTCACTGAATAGAAAGGTCACCTGGCCCTTTTTTTTCATCGAAAAATTTTGATATATAGCAAATAAAGTGCAAGAATAAAGCTCTTTTTAAGTAACCTAAATGTATTATTGTAAATAGTTCATTTTGATATATAGCAAATAAAGTGCAGTAATGAAGCTCTATTAAGTAACATAAAAGTATTATGGTAAATAGCTAATTAAATTTTTGTATATAAGCATATTATCTAAATCATGTTTATTGAATTACGGCAATTAGATGCTATATTTAATACATGTGCTCATAATTGATTTAATATACTTTTAGCACCCAAAACAATAAGATCAAGCAATATAATTTATCTATTGTTTCTTAAATTTAATAAATATAAATATTATGTATTTATATTAATACACATTCACTGGACATATGATTCTCATAAAGATGTGAGTTTCCCAATAAAAGAGACAAAACACTTTTAACAGTTTGCCATGCCGTTTATATACCCTACAATGCCTTAAAATCAGCCATTTGAAGTACTTTAGCAGTTCGCTTTGACGAAGGTTTTTAGTACAGTGTCCTGCCATTCTTGAGTATCTCACATTTCGAACAAGGATGGTGCAAAGAAATTAATTTTATTTTCCATTTGCAGAATAAGTGATGAGCGCCTGAAGAAGCTTATTGAGTTTGTAAAATAAGATAATCAGAAATCTTGTTGAAGAATTAAATACAGACGTCATCCTTAGTTTAATCTTTTCTTTTGAATTTCACCCTTACAAAATTCGCCTTATTATATAACTAAATTACTGAATTACGTAAATAATTACGCCTTGATAATTTAAATATGTAAGCCAAAAAAAAAAATAACTTCAACATTATGAAAAAGCAGATAACTGCTGACGAATTGCCATAACCGAGCAACCTGAGTTGAATCTACTTTATAGCAAATTCAAACTGAACCAAATGTGAATTCTAATATGTTATGTTACATTGAATTAATCAAACATCTTCACAAAATACAAAGCAAGCTCAAATAATTAAACAGCATTGCATTCCACAGATTAAACTTAGTTTATTATCGAAAGGCAAGAAAAAATTTAACTATTATCAATATCTTCTGTCTTAATTAGCACTTTTAGATAAATGGAACTGAAACTAGTTATCTAATTATCTGAATCCTTTTTGTTTCCAAACTTATTTCAGAATCAACTCTGTCACTGAATCGTATTCTAAACTCTATATCTGTCTTAAAGAATTCTTCCTTATATCTACTTCCCAATATGGTATAGTTTCGTCTGGAAAGAGATGTTGCCATGAGTTAACTAACACTTTGAACACTTCAATATTTATTAATAAAATCTATACCTGTGCTAAAAGTAGACGAATTTGAATTCTACTAATTAGAACTAAAACGATTTATAGAAATAAAACCTATAAAACTATTCGACATGTAGCAATGAATGGACTTAATTTTCCAAGAACGCACAGGTAACGTCCCAGAGTCAATCGTCGCCAGTGGTGATCAAGTGACATTTAACACCTCCCAAATCGACTTCACAAGCAGTTTCACAAGCAGTTTCTAACGGGTTACAACAACAACAACTTCATTTATATTATAAAGCAAAAGTTGTCTTCTTTGTAACTCTGGTTTTTTAAATACTAAACTACTCATATATCGACTTTACAAGCAGTTTCTAACGGGTTACAACAACAACAACTTCATTTATATTATAAAGCAAAAGTTGTCTTCTTTGTAACTCTGGTTTTTTACTAAACTACTCATATATCAAACATTCACAACTACTCATATATCAAATCAACACAATTCAACATTTATGTATTGTTATAGTTTACTTTTTTTATTAAGTTCTGTACTTCACAGCTTCAAAGGTTTTAAGTAAATAAAATTGCAAACGTTAGTGATGCAAGTCAAATGAAGTTCATTAGTATTTAGTTTAGTTAGTGTACATACTAAATTTGTAATAAAAAATAATTTCAAATTATATTTTTGTTAAACGTATTTCATTGTTCTCAATTTTTGCATTTTATTTTGCCTCAATTATTTGTTGAATTTAAATATTGCAATTTATTTCATGATTGTAATAATGTAAATTTAAAATACATGAAAAATTAAAAACAAAATATAAGATTTAAAATTTTATATTGCATTTTAAAATTAACTAATTTTTGCTGTTTTTTTTTTTTGTCAAATTCCATGTTGGGTCTATTGTTCTATAATTTTATTTTCTTTTTATTCGCATATCGTTCGTTTACTTCTTTTTCCACACTACTTCTTTTACTTCGTCATATAAGTCCCAAAAAAGGAATTTAACTTCTTCTAAAGATGTAGGGAATTTATTAACAGGATCAACAGAAATTTCATCGCCAGGTTTTACACCCTTTACAAAATTATACGCAATAGCGTATACTTTCCTCGCTTCGTATAAACTCTCACGTGCAGCAACTTCAGCTTGACGAGGATAGCATATTGAAGCAATAACACCGGCACCAGTTGTTGTATACAAAACCTATGATAAGAAAATAATTACTAATTTTACTAAACATATTAATTCTAAAATAATTAATAAAACCTTTCTAATAAAACCGCCACGCGCGGCAAAAATAAAGCCGGCCAAACCACCAATAGCTATAGCACCACTTCGTGGTAAAGAGTTATGTGGCTGATTTAGATAATCGATTGCTGACATACTGTGCGCTTTAGCTGTTTCATAATAATGATCAAAAACTTTCATTTGATCGGCAACTACATTATACCCAGACTGTATTTCAGTTCGTACGACCCTTACACCGCTTTCAAGAGCTCGTCGTGCATTAGATTGTTGCTCTTCGTCTGTTTTTGAACTGTTAAACAAATTGTATAAAACTGTTATATAAAATAGAAAACATTTACAAAACTAATAAAAAACTTACTTATTGCTTGAATGCAATGGTGCATACAGCGGCAATTCACTTGGTCTACGTTTTAAATGTGACACATCATTTGCTTCTTTTACAGCACTTGGAGTTTCAGCAGCTTTCGTTACACCAACAGCGGCTAACGTCAGCGCTGGTGTTATGATTATCACTCGACGCAACATCACAATTTTTAATTAATTTACTTTATGGAACTTAGCAATAAAAGTGTGATTACTTATATTATTTATTTGAATAGACCCAACGAATGAGGAAATTTTTTAACGATTTAATACATTTTAATCACATTGCATAATATTGAATGACGTTCATGTCAAAACAAAGCAGAGTTGACAGTAGACAGAGGGTGTTACAAAATAAATCATTTTCAACAATTTGATAATTGCAGTGTTGAAAAAAAAAATTTGTTTCCTATTTGATTAACATTAGGCAAAGCACAAAAATATAAATAAATACTGTTGGCTCTAATTACACTTTGTTAAAATTTACGCTTAAATAATTCCGTGTATTGTGTTATTTGTCGGACATTTTGTATACATGAAACTGTCACTGCATTTCAACAAACAATGGTTTATATTTTTTTTTTGCTTAAAAGATGCGAATCACAAATAAAAAACATTTTTCTAATATTAAGTTTAATTTTTAATTTCCACACATGTTTCACTTTGAATCAGAACATCAGTTAATAAGTTATGAATAAGCTTAACATATAGATCATATTTTGTTTTTTAATAAAAATTCTAACATTCTTGCTAAAACTATATACGAAATTTATTTCGAAAACACTACTAATATATCTTAATATAGATTCATAAATTTTATGAATTCTGTAGGAAATCCATTTTGTTATGTATATTATTTATGCAGAATATGGACGATGCTACATGTTTGCAGACAAGGTATGCGTGTTATCAAATCGCACCGTCTATATTCAAGTTTGCATTGTAAAATAATTGAAAAAGTTGTAGACATTTATTTTCTTTAAAAGAAGCAAATTTCAAAAATAGTGCTACAAACAATTATTAAAGTAGTTTATATAATTTAAAAATTACTTTGTGCTAAAAACATTTTTTTAATAAGTTTTTATATTTTAAAAATTATTTTGTGAATAAAAATATATTAAAATGTAACATTTTAAAAAATTAAATTAAAAATTATTTTAGTTTTAAGAATTAAAATAAGAAATTATATAATGAAATAAATAACATGTTGCGCTATTATCATCTAAATTTCTTCAGTTTCGATTGCTATTTTGCACTCTGTATTTGCTCCGCTGTTCTGAACACAGTAGAAAAAAAGTCAAAATTAAGTATGCGTACCTTGTCTCAAAGTGTATAGCAAAGCTCATATTTGGACTTCATACTTGGTGTGCAGATATGTGGCATCGTCTATACCATGCTTTAAACACATTAATAAGTATTATATAAAATCGAGTTTATATTGAAATTAAGGCTGAACTAATTGCCCTGTATGAAAGCAGCAAACCCGTGCTTCCTCATAGAAAACAATATATTTGTGCCAAAGCTAACATAGTGGTAAACGTAAACACCATTGAATTTGGATTCCTTGATGTACCCATATAAAAATTTTATATTAGCTGATATAAACAATATAATTCCTTATATAATATAATTGCAATATAATTTCTTCATTACGAAATATTTAAATAACGGATTGAGCTTTTGTTTACTTTTTGCATGCACTATTATAACTAAAATAATACTGGATGCACGCGAAAGTTTAGTTTATAATTTTAGGTGCTAGTAGTTGTAATACTTGAAACGTAAAATGAATATTTTTGGCAGCTGAAATTACAAATAAAACGTGAATCTAGTATGAAACTAATAAATACAAAACTACAAAAGTTTAAGAGAAAAGTTCTCTTGATGTAATGAATATATCGTGTTTAAATTACATTAATGACATTAATTTGGAGAAGTCACCAATCAATTTTATGCTTTTATGATTACATCAAGATAGTTATCATTTGGAAGAGTTAACTTAAACTAGGAGCAGAAACATTATTCAAGACCTGTATCGTTGCCAAATGCGTTAGTAAATATATATATGACATGTTAGCACACAATATATGTGTTTTTATTTCACAAGTTTTATAGTTATAGTTTTAAAGGCTGTAATCGGCATTTTTGCCTTAAATGATTTATTTATTTATTTGAAATGAGCTCATTTATATGAAGGAGACCAGTGGAAATATGGTATTAGCAATTTTTTTTCGAATTTGAATAACAGTTAAGTTAATAATTTACTGTCACATCTACTAATGAGTAGTAGTATTTCTCTTAAAAATGAGTATCAATACAAATCAGCTGTTCGATTTGCGCTCGCTCATATCTTATCACGTTGCATTGTTGCTGTATTCGCAAAGTGGTTAACTGTGAGGTGTGTAATAAAGTGGAAGCAAATTTTAAAGTGAAAAAGTTAAAAGAAAAATAGAATTAATTTAAAACAAATGTGTAAATTAATAACTAGTATACTCGCTAAAATATAGAATAAATATTAGAAACGTGTTAAAAAATTATTTGTAAAAGTTCTAACCACGATTTGTTACCACCAAAACCACCTACGTCCACGACGCGTACTCGGCCCAGAAATAAAAAATATCGTTTGTATCGCCTTATCAGTCGAGCCTTGAAAGGCTCTAATACAACATAAATTTTTGCACTCAAACGCTGTCCCCCCACAACAAACAACATACACAATCACACAAACATTAACAAGTCAAACCAGCAACATTCAAGGACACTTGGGTGCTTCAGCAAACAATTCATTCTCCAATAAAAATACGAAATTTATTGTTAATAAAAAAATGATTTTACGAAAAAGTTATACATAAATTTTATATTTTTGTATATTTTTAGTCTTAAGTAGATAAAGTGAATATAAAATTATTTTTTATATATAAAAAAGATTTTTGCGCGAAAATAAAAAACATGGAATCGTGCAACTGCTGATTGAATTTGTTACGTAAATTTTAAAAACTGACCGAACTGGGTATTTAGTTGAGTGAGTTGGGTACTTGCTTCTGGGCCTATGGAAACGACAGCCAACTCTAAATTTAGGTAAGAATTATTTTTGTTTTCCTGCTAGAACATGTTTAAAAACTCTGATTATAAATAGAATGAAAGGAGGTTCGGATCTTGAGAACCTACATTAAATCGAATTATAATGTAATTACTGTCAAGGCAGTCCTAATTTTTTTTTTTTGGTGTCTATACATAGCTGATCACATGTATTGCAAATATAGTTTACATACATATAAACTGTAATACAGTAGTGAATATTTTATAATCCTATTTTATTTTGCGTTTAAATAAAAATATTACTAAAAATAATATTTAGAATTTTTTCATGTTAAGAAATTTAAATTAAAATTCCACTCACAACCCGAAGCAGTTAAATGGCGGGAATTCTTTTACGTGTTTTCCTGTGATTATGGAAAAGTCACTTCACTATATTTCTTATATCTTTATGTATATTTATTGTCTGTGTAATACGTTTATGTAATAATTTTTGTACTCTAACCACATAATAATGGGCGTATAAAAATTAATATGTAAATTTTTGTGTCATCATTAAAATACGAAAGTTTTATTTTATTACAATTTTTCACTATTAAACTTATCATTTTAGTTAAAAATGATAACGTTATTAAATTCTTTCTCATATATTTTATTATTTTATAAGCTAAAAAGGTAAATAACAGTCACCAACGTCTTTAGCAATCCACCCATATAATTTTAAAATCAAAGTCTTATCTTTATCAACTTTGATATAAATGGAAATCGACTGCTTAGCACTCTACAGATGGTTAGATAAATACAAACATCTACATAATTTAACTACTTTAATGTATATTATAAAATTTAAAAAAATAATCACTTATTTTTGGCAATAAAGTTTCTTTTTAATTTGTAGGCTTCAGAATTAATTATGAAGTTGTAATCAATATAATTTTACCACACTGTGGGTTAGTTATATATAGCGTGTTTTTTTTAAAGGATTTTATATTTAAAGAGAACAAATGCAATAAGTCAAATATTTTTAAATTGATATAAAATTTTATAACATTTATAATGATAAATTATTTTGTTCAATTAGACATAATACATATAACTTGAAAACTGCATAATTTGTATAAAGCTTCAATTTTCCATAACGTTTTTAATTATTAAAGACTCGATCTCAAGTATACGAATATCCTTCATAATATTTGCTTCTTAAGCCTAGTACTAACATAAATTTCATATTAACATAAAATTCTAATATAAAATTGAATTAAAACAAGTTTTATGCAAAGTGGATCCCAGTACTAGGCTTAATTTGATTAGTTTTGTTACCTAGCTTATAACGTTTTCGATTGGTAAATCTCGGGAAACTTTTTTAATCGAGATTTACTTTTAGTACAAATTTCATTTCTGATTGGTGACGCTTGATATTAATGTATAATACCCGAGATTAATCCATAACACTCTAGATATTTAGCCAAAGTAGCAAGATCAATCTGACACTAACAGCTGTTTTATATATGAAGTGTGATTTGTTTCGATATATGTATTTATAAAAAATGTAATATAATATCTACTAAACAATTACAAGAATTTTATATATATGTTGAGGTTAGTTGAGTTGAGTCAATGCACCTGAGCACTTTTACTCTCTATTAACTGCGAGGTTTCTACAAAACCCCTCTTTGCGCCTTGACTGGATTATTGTTTATCACTTCATTAGACTAGGCAATAATTGACCTCAGATCTGCATATCTCCCCGAGGAGCCTGTAACCATTCTGAGATTTGATAACGCGGTGTTAGTAAGTCTGTCAGACTTCGCAAATAATTTCAGGGCTCTATCCTTTATGTATTTTTTGATGGGATCAATCTTGAGGTCCCTGAGGATGTCATTCGTCCTAATGTACCATGGAACTTTGAAAAGTCTTCTCAGAGCCTGGCTTTGTGCAATTTCTAACTGGTGAATAGTAGTGTTTGAAGCTTTGCTAAACGCTACACAACCATATAACAAGAATTTTAGATTACTCTAAAAATTTTTAATTAAGTAACCTAATTTAACAGATCTAAAGTAAATCTAGATTGAATTCAGATTTACTAATTAAACACACTGTAAGTGTGACATAGACAAATAATTTTATTTAAATTGACATGTATTGATTTATTGATAAAGTCAACCTCAGTGTCTCAAGGTGTAAGTATTTATTATGATTACTTGCGTATATAATTTATAAACAACGCTCAAATGTAATTGAAATAGATTGTTAATTGATATAATAATTATTTGGTGTTTAATAATAATAAATAATAAACTGTTTATAATTACACCAAAACATATATAATATATCAATTAATTCTCAATAACAAAAATTTTATGCAGAATAACTACTTTCGCACTTCTGGTCAAGTTATTTAGTAATTCCATCAAATTCCCATCAAAGTAATATGAATATTATGGCAGTCTTCTATCAGTAAAGTAAATATAATATATACATCAATATGTTATAAATGATCAAGAGTTTAGCAAAAACAACATTTTAATTTATCGAGAAATGTTACGTATACAATTCTAGTGTAATAATTTAATTTTGATTATAATTAACTATAAAATCAGGTAATTAATTGCACATTTTGAAGAGACATGTGTGATCCGTAGACTAGGTCTTTATTTGGTTAATAGTTATTGGAAAGGTTTTATTTATTTTTTTTAATTTTCTCTTATGATAATGCTTTTTCGATTTTATAGTTTGTTTCTTTTTGGAATACGTATAGTGAAACTCATAATATTATTATTTTGTTTTGCAAAGTTTAAATAAATACTCGTCAGAAAACAAATAAAATAGAGATTATATTGGAAAAACTTTTTTGAACTAAAAATAATAAGATATGAAAAGTTAAAGATAGAGCAACGCAGATTTAAGGAGAGACTGTATTTTTAATTTGTTAAGAGTATAGCGTGGTATCTGTGCTTGAAATAGTATTCTTACTTTAGCGGAACTGTAAACACAGAGGCTATATTTTTATTCAAAATTATTTATTGTGTTGTGTTTATTTCCTTAAGCAGGAAACTAGAAACTAGTTTTTGGGAAAATAATTTTCTAATTAAATTTTTCCAAATCTTATATTGTCAATATATTCGAATTGAAATCAAACTTGCTGTGATGAATGAGAATGTCGACGATTACAAGAGTATTATATTTCGTTATGAATATTATCGAAGTATAGTGAATTTATATATTTGTACTGGTGTATTGTTAATTGCGGAGGTGATTTCTTGTTCCCAAAAAAAAAATATTCCTTTATTTTGAATTTTTTTTGAAATACAGGATATTAAATAAAAGTTATCCGTAATTAAGATTGTATTCAAAAATTCATAGTATCCAAAAAAGTTTAATAGAAAATTTTAATTATTTATTAATTTTCAATCCATTATATATATCTTAATTTAATATATAACATATTTTTTTACTTAATGAATCGAAAATGATTTTATACTAAAAACCGATCTATCTCAAAATTTTTTTGCAATCTCATTTTTCATATATTAACACCTTATTGGCTTGCGAGTAACATTCTACTTATAAAATCGAAATAACGTAAATCGGTTGATATGAAGTTTACTCGATTTACCAACTCTTTACTTACTATTACAATCTCAACAACACGGATAAGACGTAATTTCGCAGTACATACCACTAGTTGATTAAAAACTCCCCGGGATACAACTAGGTGATTCAGTGTATTGTAGGGGACTTTCATCTTAAATATTGAGCAATCATTTGAAATAATCAAATTAGTTTTTTATATTAAGTATAAAAATGTATGTTATTGCGCAAACATATTGGAATGTTGATAGCGGCCCGGGTATAATGAGGTGTTGCCACCAAAAAAAAATTGTTTAAAGAAAAATTTTAATAAAACTGGTTAGCGCAAAAATATATTAATTAGAGTTCCACGATGAGCTGTCAATAAAATTCATTATTGTATTATCATGTTATTTTTAATAATTATATATCCCGATATATTTTTCTTAAAACATTTTCAAATTATTTATCTCTATATACTATGTAAACATTATTGATATTAACTTATCTTTTGTTTTATACGAAACTAATTGCCAAGAATTCTCAATCAAAAATCGAGTTCAGTTTGATAATTAAAATATATTGTAAATAAAATTAGATAATAAAAAATTACCTATATAAATAATAAATTAATAACGAGATTAAGCAATATTTAGTAGTTCAAACTACTATGTGTTATTTTGTTACTTGAGTTTGATATTAGTAATAGTTTAAAATTTGTAATATACTCATTATAAACTAACAAACACTAATACTTTTTTGACTATTATATAATGATTATTAAAAAAAAAATTATTTAGAGCCTGAAGCACCAAAAAAGTAAACCTAGTGGATTTAAGCAAAAAAAAAATACTTCGCTATATTTTCTTTCTTGTATATAGTTGAGAGATATAGGTTTTCTCATTATGTTTAATGTCAAAGAAAATTAAAAAGTAGACAATTACGAAAATTAAAAGGCATTTATTCCAATAGACTAGAACAAATTAATGTAAATTAAAAATTTCCATAAGTCGGGATATAAGAAAAGTAGATAAAACACATCTTCATAAAATTCAATAAAAATTGGAAAAATGAATTGAAGGACAACATGAAAAACTTACTTGATATATATATATCGTAGTAAAAAATAATATATTGGTCTAATTAATTTATTTTATAAAAGCTCTAAATGTTATTGAAAATAACACATTGGTCTAATTAATTTATTTTATAAAAGCTCTAAATGTTATTGAAAAAGAATTTTATCAGATATTTTACAGAGTAGCGATATTACTATTCACACTGGTGATACTAGTTTTTATTTTTAATTTTATCATATATCATTATAATTAAATTAATTCTTTTTTAATTCTTAGCGATGTTGATGAATATGGCTTTAAACGTGCAAATAATTTTGATTATAAAAACTATGAAAAATTTATGTCGAATTACCTGAAGACGCTGTCCAAGCGACGAATGAAATGGGAAGCAATATTACAACAAAACAGTGATCTCACAAATATCGATGCCAAATTGAAACGTTATATACGAAAGGGGATACCAGGTGAGTACTATAGTTAATATAATAATTTTTGTAAAACAACAAAATTATTATAAAATTGGAAATCCAATACCATAGAAAATTATATGTAATACTATAATGAATCATATAATTTCGCTACCTTTAGATTCAAAAAGAGTTGACTTATACTACTTTAATCCATTTGCAGTTGACATAATACCAACAACCCCATAACCCCATAAATGAGTAAGGTTTCAAAATTTTGTATTTGCAAGTACTTGTCCTTTCACCTATTTTATTATGGACAACATCTAGTCGTCGATGTTGACAATTAAACCCTACTAACTTTCTTACTAATTTATATCTATACTTTCTCAGTACCTCTTTTCACTCTTCAAACGAAAATATAACTTTTCATATATAATAATGTTTGTTGAAGAATATATATATAAGAAATTGTATTAAAAATGAATATATCGTTGTTATTCTAATGGGTTTAAATTTGTTCTTGTAATAACACAATGGGTTAACCTCATAGGACAGTTTGTTTATAATATGTACTAATTTTTTATTTATTTTTGTAAATTATAATATATTATTATGATATTTATTCTTCCTCACTGCAGGTCCCTACCGTCCTGATGTTTGGATGAAAATATCTGGCGCACATAAGCTACAACAACGTTCTCCGGATCTCTATCGTAACCTTTTAAGTTCGCGATATGAGAAGGAAATAAGTGACTCTATATCAATTGATCTACCTCGTACGTTTCCTGACAATATCTACTTCGAGACTAAGAAAGAAAGGCTTTTTAATATTTTAATTGCATATGCACATCATAATCGAGAAGTTGGTTACTGTCAAGGATTAAACTATATTGCTGGTAAGTATTAAATATTATTTTTATTTGCTTTATTTTTTTGGTAGACAGTAAAAATCTGATGTCAAATAATTAATCGAGTTTTGCTTGTTATGGTAAACTATAATATAGTATTTCAGACATATAAACTCGACTGATCAAATAGCAATTAAATATTCTTAAACCATTTTTAAAGAAAATAACATATCCAGCTTTTATATTTATTTCTTAAAATTGTTTTAAACTCTTGTATAAATAATTTGATTTAAACCTGTAACTTTTAATTTGAAGTTATACAGAAGTGCAACTTATCCATACATAGGGAAAGCACTGTTATAAACATATAAATTTCATTCACAAAAATTAAATTTTGAAACTTCCGGTAAATGACTCTCGTCAGCTAATCTACAAACTGAAACTTTAGTCTATTCTGTTATTTTTTTATTCATAATTTAATTTAATTTATTTTTATTTGATAATTTAAATTACTATCATTAATTAATTAATTAATTAATCACGTACTTAATAAAGTTCACGAAGAAAACATTATCTGTACATTTTTATTATAATCTAATTTGAGTTCTACTCGTTTAAATTTTATTCATTTTGTTAAGCTTATATTTAAACTCTTAAATTATTTTTTAATATTATAAACGTACTAATTAAACGTGCATATGAAAACCATGTTCAGAAGATGAATGTGGTTTTCATTAAAAAAACGTAGCACAAATTTGAGGTAGTCACCTCAAAATGTGGTTTTCATGTAGCAACATACAACAACTTTGAAGTAACCACTGTGTTAGCCACAAAAGTTGAGCTGAATGAACATTCTGGCACTGTAGATGCTATTGCGGTTATCAACTGCTCACAATAAAGTCTATATAAAATAGTTTTTCAGCTTAGATAACACATACATATATTTTTAAGATATAAATAATATGTATATATTAATATATATTATATATTAAATAATATGTATATATTATTTAAGCTTTAAATTGTTTTATCTCCTGTAAAGGAATTCGAATAATGTGCTCCACTAAAAGTATTTCTATATATCTTAATATAATATGGATAGATAATACCGTTGGCGAGATGGTGTAATGGGATTCCAAGTTCCCAGTAATATTTTAGACCATTTAGCACTAAATATTATTTTATTTATTTATTTCAATTAAGTTTATTTCCAATGAACTTCTAATTTTAAAAAGTCCTCCTTAAACTTATATACACCTGATTACTACGACCATATTAGTACACTATTTAGATTTATGTGACTATTATGTTGTTGTATAATGCTTGGATGGTTTGAATTAATTAAGAATATTTAAGAATGTCTAAGGGACTCTTTAAGAAAAAATTTTGCAATTGATTAAGTGTTCTAGAAATTTAATTGCTTTTATGTTGAATCTGTGTTGGATAATTAAGACTCTGTGCACATTCATTTTTTGCCGCAAGTGTACACCAGGCTTAAGACTCAGTTATTCGGTACGTACCGTAAGAACTTAAGTCAAAGCGAAACAAAAGCGGCATACTTTGTTTATTTCTTTCCTATTAAATATACAGGTAGGATTGGTTGTGCATTTCGCTTTGGCTTAAGTTCGCTTAAGTTCTTTCGGTACGTACCGATGAACTGAGCCCTTAAATGTAACATTTTACTCGTACATTATTTAAAAAATGTATTTTATAAATTATAGATAATAATACAAGCAATAATTACTTCTTTTTTTATTTTCTATAGGTCTTCTATTGATCGTAACCGATGATGAGGAGAAATCATTTTGGCTGCTAAAGCATATAGTGGAAAATATAGTACCACAGTATCATACTAAAAACATGGCTAATCTTTTACGAGACTTAGCTGTCTTTAAGGAAATGGTGATAAGAAGAGCACCCGCTGTAAATAGACACATTGAACAATTGGGTAATATTTTGTATTTATGTATATTTCTATATTAAAAATATTTATATGTATAACTTATTATATTTAAAGGTTTGCCGTATGCTGTCATAGCAAGTAAATGGTTCATTTGCATATTTGCTGAGGTGTTACCAGTTGAGACAGTGCTAAGAATATGGGATTGTGTATTTGCAGAGGGTTATAAGGTGTGTACTTCTTGTACTTTAGTTTAGTTGTAAAAAAGTAATGTTTAAAATGCAATCGTTCCTTACAGATAGTTTTTCGAGCTGCATTGTCACTCTTTTTAACTCACAAAAATGACATACTGAATTGCGAAGATATTGCCGCCTTGGCGAATTTATTTCGAGACATTATGATACAAGACGATATTGTTACCAACTGCCATAGTTTTATACAAGCCATGTTCAATTTGCGTTTAAGTCGCAGTGAATTGGAAAGCTTACGCAAGATTTGCGTGGGTCGCAATAATACTTAAAATTTAGACTAAATGCTGTAACTGCTTGAACTTATTTTATTTTGGCTTTGCTGTTATTGAAGATGGTAGATTTAACAGTTTTGTTATTGTAAGTTAAGTTTGTTTTAATATTAGGATAATTTATACAAATTCTGAATGTAAATTTTGCATTTCTAGTTTAGTTGTAAATTTAGCGTCCCTCAAAAACTATGTTTTGTAGTATTGTGTGTGTATGCCGGTGTGTAGTTTACTAAATACAAAGTGCTTTTGTATTATTTAGGCTTAATTTTTAATTTAATTGTTAAGTTTATTTAAATTATTAAATAAAATTAAGTTTTTCTTTGTTAGAGTAAAACATTTTTAGATGAAAGTTTTATTACTGTAACCATTGTATTGTACCACAAACAACTTATATATAGATGACCAAAGCAAACCATAAAACTGGCAATCATTTTGAAAGCAAATAAATTGTTCTTAGTGTCATCTTACTAACACAATGATTAATTTATTTTAAAAGCTCAACTTTCTGATGTGCTCTATGAGCACATATGATTCTATGGTTCTATAATTCTTTGGTTTACAGTCTACGTATGAATGTTAATAAGATATTGTAGATTGAATAGTGATTGGACGGCCAAATTTTAAAATTTTAGTGAATATTTATTCTCTATAACGCTGGATATCTAGATATAAATTGTTTATGATTCTACTAAGCATTACTTTTGTACTGTATATATGATATATCTATCACCTAAAAGCAACCAACCTATGTGGTTGAATTACCTTCCAGGTCCAAAAACTTTAAGTAATGTTAACTCTTTCGTGCAGTTATTTTAACTTAAACTGCACGTAAACAAAACAATTAATTTGATATTTGTTTGATATATTATTCTATTATTATGTATTTATTAGACAATTTGAGCTAGTAAGATAATTTGTATAGATTTATTGTAATGATATTTTGTTTGTGTATTATGCTATTATTTAATTTAATGACCAAGAACAAAATAGTAGTTAACTTGTAACATTGTCAGTAAAACATAGAAAGACATAAGTTATAGGCTTTCATTTTGTTAGAGAACAAATCACAAAAAATTAACTAAAAAATCAGGGACATAAATTTTATAAAATTTATCAAAATAAATGGAGTAATACTTTTTATCTGTGTAATTATTATATTTTTTTAAAATATTTTTTATTTTACTGCATAGATTTATGGTTCGAAAATATATTTTTCGTTGTGAACTATTATTTTTTTTAAATTGTTTTATATTATTGAGAGTAATAATTAGCTTTTTTGTTGAGTTGTTTTTTTAAATTATTTAATTTTTAACTTAAAATTATTTTCGAAAAATACATTTATTCATTAAAGTAAAAAATTATCATTTAAAAATGATAAATTTCTATACTAAGAATATAAGAAATAATAATTTGTTTTGCTGTCCCTGTTTAAAAGTTTATTTTCAAAATTTAGATTTTGAAGAATAAAATACTCTGTTATAAATTTATATAATGCCTTTATTTATTAAATTCATTTATGTTATTAGATAAGAGAAATACTAACTACAATAATTGCTAAAATTAATAAGTATAATTTTTTGTTAAATTTTGAGCAATTAAAATTTTTTTTAGCATATTAATTTATCAATAATTTCGAAAAAAAATGCTGTTTCTCAATTAAAAGTTTAGTAATTGCTTATTAAAAAAGATTTTCTTCCGCATTATGTGAAAATATAAAAATAAAAAATTTCAATTGTTTAACAATTGTGGGCAAAAAAAAATGCATTTTCTTTTTAATCAATAAAAAATAACAAAATTTAAAAATAGACAGATCCAAGAAATGAAGGAAAAATAAATAAAATATATATTATATTATAAGTGAAAGGAAGACTAGATTTAGTTGTTATACAACAAAAAATACAATAGTTATTTTAAATGATTTATGGTACACCGCAATGGCCACCACACATGGGTTCCGAAGACAACGCTAAAGATGTTAACAATGTACGACGACCTGGATGTACACCAAGATTTTCCCAATTTATCCAAGATAAACGAGCTGTTAGATCTGTAAGAAAACATTAAAACATTTTTATCTTAAGTGTTTGCAGACAATTTTATAATATATAAAAAGCTATAGTTATTATTTTGCCCAGATGATTGACCATCTGTGTGTCCCTGTCTCCAGAATAGGACGTGATGTGCTCGATTTTACTTATTACAAAAATACAGAGCGAAATTAAGTAAGTAATAAGATTTTTAAGTAAAAAAACTAATTATCATTGATTGTTTTGCTCATTACAACTCAATGCATATATATTTCGTAAATAAAAGTTATATAAAATTATTAATCGTTTTATCATATTTTCCTCAATAAGCAAATTTAGTTATAATAGTTAATCAAATAGATAATACATTACAAATCTAATCATTTTCTTAGAGTGATTCCATTCCATACAATGGCTACATTAGCATAGTTTTTTTGAAAAATAATGATCAGTACTTGATCTTTATGCTATATAATTATCTCAACTTATAAAAATATAATAATCTTACTCTTTTAAATACGGCTATTAACTATGAAATAAAAAATGGGCGAACAACTTCATAATCTTTATTTAAATACAAACATATTCTGATTCATAACAGTGTATTAAAAATTTTTTTCAAGATAATATATATGTATATTCACCAAGTCTGTATATAAACAACTGTATAATACAATTGAAGTATTAATGTCGATAGTTTCCCTGAGATATGTGAACTATACTATATATAACGACATATAAACCGTAGAAGTACCTTGTGATCAAAAAATAACTTATTCATTCTTTTTTCGAATTCCCGCGCTTATCCAATCGGTAAATTTTTTTATTTTCACGCTGGCAACACTATTATACACATTCTATAAAAGTTTAACGCATATTGTACGATCAGTTTTTGTTTGGCGTCTATACAAAGAAGTCGAAAAATTTTCGTGTGGCGATTTTTAGCTGAATTTCATTCAAAAAAAGCGTCAGTGAGATGATTTCGAAAGCAAATAGTGACCCCACATTCATCGAACGCATCATAACTGATGATGAGACATGGGTCTATAAATTTAACATGCCCACCAAACAACAATCGACCAAATGGTGCTTCGAAGGTGAGCCGAAACCGAAAAGAGAACGCCAAAGTCGGTCCAAAATCAAGGTTATGCTGACTGTTTTCTTCGATATTCGTGGTGTGGTGCACTATGAATTCCTTCCGGACGGTCAAACGGTCAATAAGGAGTATTATTTTGTTTCGCAAAAAGAAGCCATATTTATGGAAGGAAAACTCATGGATTTTATACCACGATAACTGGCACTGGCTCACACAGCGTTGGTTGTGTCGCAGTTTTTGGCTAAAAACTCCACCAATATCATCAACCAAGCACCGCACTCTCCAGATATGGCCCCGTGTGACTTTTTCCTCTTCCCCCGACTCAAATTGCCATTGCGAGGAACCCGTTTTGAACCACAGAGGCTATAAAAGAGAATTCGCTGCGTGAACTAAAGGCCATACCTTCGGCGGCCTATAAAACTTGTATTGAAAATTGGATCAAGCGGTGGCATGCATGTATTGCCGCAGGAGGAGAGTACTTTGAAAGCGATAATAAAGAAAATTATTAAAAATTAAAATTTTGCTTTTTTTGTTAACTTCTCGTTCTTTTTTGATCAAATGGTATAAACAGTTTTATATCAGTCTATTTTCTTTGTTATACATCAAATGGATAGACACTCTAGTTTTCAATTAATCGTATAAAATAAAACTTTTTTACTACTTTCGTATAAAAAAGTTTAGAAAAACAAAAGTTTGGCTTATTAATATAGGATGTTAAAATATTATTTGCATTTAATAATTAGACATTCATTTGTGTATGAATTCATATACATTAAAAATATAAAAAACTAACTCACCACTCGTATTCCAATTAGCACGATCGGCCTTTATTTCACCGCGCAAGCATTTTTCCACATAGGTTAATGGATCATATTCGGTTTGTAATACTTCTCGTAACAACGATATATAAGCAATGGCCAAACGTAATGTATCAATTTTGCTTAAACGTTTCTCATAGGGAAAAGTAGGAACATGAACCCTAAGTTCATCGAAAGCCGAATTTATACTACTGCAAATCGAAACAAGGAAAAATAAACGTTATACAAATAAATAAATCCTTGGGGAATGTATATATTTTAAGATAATTAGTAGTTTTGAGTTCTAAATGGATTATTCGATTTAAAGAAACTATAATAATAAATTTATATTAAAATTTCATCTAATATATTTGTAAATAATATAAAAATGAATAAAAATGAAAAAAGACCATTTAGTGTACCCAGTTGGTGCGGACCTCTGGATGCGTTTCCTTTCACGTACGTTAGCCTGCTGACGTTGTATTTTATATGGTGCAGCAGCTGATGGATTGTAAACAGCGTTACTGCTGCTTGCGCTTGGGCTATTGCACATCATATTGGCGTTACTACTGGATGAGAGACCAATGTTGGTGGATGAGTCCAAAATGGATTCTGAAGTAGGAAAAAATTTATAAAATTAAGTTTTTCTTTAGGAGAGTAAAATAAAATTACCAGAATGATGTAAATATTGTTGCTGTATGTGTCTTAAGTTATTTGAATTCATACGTAAGCTACCACCACCGACGGCGTTACCAGAAACGCCATGATGTTGTCCAGCGTAAACGCAAGATGGTAAATCGTTGAAAGTATCGTCATCAAAATTATGAAAGGAAAGGTGACTGTAAATAAAAATGCAATTTAAGTATAAACATTTTTGGGAACTATGATACTTTAATATTTATTTCTGTATAAGCATGGATTCACAAATATTTTTATGAAATATTTTGGTGTTTAGTTAGCTAGTTAAAGTGGAGGTAGGAGCGAATTCTCCTCAATTAGCTAAGAAAGCCGTTTTCAATCCACAATTTCTCGTAAATTTTGGAGTTTAATACTGCCACATTAATTTATTTTCATACGTGTATTTTTAATGACGTTATATTAAATAATTGAATATGAATAATAATTATATAAAACTAATTATATTATGTTATGTAAAATAAATTATCATATTATATTATAATTACTATAATAATTATATTATCTTATCAAAAGTAATGAAATTGAGTGTTGAGGGTTTTATGACAAGTGATATAATGGGTCTTATGACGATCGAACTACTTGATAATTGTAACAGCGGTCTATTAATTTTCTGGTCAAATTGCCATTATATAGCATATGAATCAATTAAACATAACAGATACAAATTTTTTTTCAAAGTAATAAATTCAGCCAAAAATATATATAAAAGGTAAGAATTTATTCCCAATAAGGTTTGCCTATTGTTGATTTGAAATGTACATTAAAAAGTAGCGAAAACCTCTCTGTAAAAGAGAGGTAAAAGACTGGTAAAATTTTTCACGCAATAAAAGTGAAGAGACCTCAAAGTACTGATAAAAGTTATCACAGAACATAGGACAATTGGACATCATACTCTCACTGTGGGTATTATCACAAATCCGTCATGTTAATCATATCTCAAGATTTTGAACAACACACAGAAGTTCATCTGTTATTGTCTAGACTTTGCAGGACTAGATTGAGATTGTTGGATAATATGTTCTCTACATTACCAATATTTATGTTTTATAGTAACCTATTCTGTTTTGTTACTTCTAAATTTTTTAATTGAATGTTCCCGCCCAATGACCAACTGACTGCATAGCTTGGTTTTATCCTACCCTTAATTTAAGAGAAAAATCTTATTGAAGAATAGAAGTGGTCGAAGCACCTAAAAGAACTAGTTTCAGTTTCTAGGTAACTATGTTCGGTATTTAAATAATATTGATGCTCTTGTTTTTTGTTTACTTTTATTTTTTGTGCTTTATGGTTTAAGCACAATGGGCAATTGACTGTCATTTTTTTTTATCTTCAAGAAAAAAAATTTAAAGCAATTGTAATATATAAAAAAGATTATCACTCATAGAAAAATTGTTCTAAAAATGGTATTTTGACTTCTTTGACTTTAAGAGTGTTCAAATCAAAGAAATGATTAAATTGGAAATGTATCTATTCACACCCATATGCAGATTATAAAATATTTTTTACACATTTCTTTTAATGTAACTTTTGTTAAGAACTGAACTATTTCGACGGATAGGCTAAATATTATTTCAAGACAATAAAATCAGCTTTATTGATTTTTGATTCATTAGAATATTATCTAAAAAAGTTCAGAAGACATAATACAGAAATTATAGAAAATATCGGTGGTCAATAATATTTATTAAGCGCGCCGTATTTATTTCTGTTATAAAAAATAAAATATGACATGAGTTTTGCTTGACATGAGCATTATTATTTTTTAGCTTTTGGAAAACTATTGTATATAAAGTTGATAATTTATATAAAATATAATAATATATCGTAACTAATAACTAAAACCAATTTAATTAAAACCAATTTAACAATATGAATATTGTTGCATTCGTTAAGATGTATTATGCCTCAGGCAGAACTAATGTACTGAAGAGTTATGAGATAAATTCAGGTTTTGAACAAATTTAATACATAAAAGTATGTTTGTAATTCTAATTTTCCAGTTGGAACAAATATCTTACATATATGAGCCTCAAAGTTTAGTATTCTATTTTCGTTTAAAGTTTGCGCCTCCAAATACGATGCACTGGCTGCCGTAGCAGAAATATAAGGCATGAATTTAGTTGTAGCTCTTGGAGAGGATGTTTCTAATCAGTTCGAATACATATGGGAATGAAAAAGTAATGCGAAAAGTAATGAGCACAAATACAAATGTGCCAAATCTATCCAAACAATATTTGACCAAATGTAGAAAGTTTGTGAGCTGCTGGAAATCTCTCCCAAGAATTATAACTGGCCATTCCTGGTGTGTGGGACGTTCTTCAATTAATTTGTGTTAAAAAAATGGTCCCTTGTCTTCAATAGAAGAAAGAAGTTATAACAATAGAAAAATTACAAAAGCTTTAAAATTACTTGAAGTTACAAATATTCCTTCATTAAAACTTCCTTCATTAGAAAATGTTTTAAATATATGCGCTATGTGTGCTCATATTCCTATCACGAGCTTAATTTCATAACACATAAATGTTTTTCTCTTAAACTTTTATTGTTAAAAATTACCATGATATACAAGAATAATTGAATACAAAAGAACTCAAATTAAAGATTGAATATAAAAATATTTTAATTGCATAAGAACTATAATACGAATTATAATTAAAAGTTCATCGTTTCTGTTTAAAACGATTACTTCCGGAAAATGGATTAGGTGGCGAAGAAAACTATTTATATAAGACAGAGATGCATTTTAATTAAAAATGTATTAAGTAAAAAATTAGAAAATTGTTTTATGTCAAAGATATCCGAAATATTATCCAATTAGATATTTCAGGCAAATTTAGTAGAATAAATTACCGAATTTATTGTATTATTGATTGTACACATAACAAAACACTCAAATTTGATTTGCTATATGAATTACACACAAACATATATATTTTAAATTTAATTTGTATTTATAGTAAGAAATTGATTTAAAGTCAATATTACTCTAGAATTTATTTATAACTTTTTTTGTTTTAAATTTCTCCAGAATATCACAAAAATTATCTTCAAAGCATTAACTGACACTTTAGAAATAAATAACATCAAAAACACTTATATATAGATCTCTTCTATTAATTAGTTTATTATATTTAAAACGGTATAAATATCTTAGTTGTAGTTTTATAAAAATTAACCTTATTGGTGGAGAGGAAGAAGAATCCGGTAATTGATTTCGCGACATATTTTATTTTCAATATTAATATTCACTTTAAAATATGATCTATATTAATATATATACTTTATTTGAAAATATTTTTAAACCGCACACTCTGATAAGATTATTTCAAATAATTTATCTCCTGGGAATAATTGTCTTTTATACTCAAATCCAATTGGAAATGTAAAGCACTGATTTCGAAAGTGAAGTAATTCCACCCCTAAAGAAGTCTACAGCATCCTTTTTGCTATTTGTAGTAAATTTTTGGTAGGCGGAGTTTATGAAGGGTTTTCATATTATAAATTCCAACAGTAAATTACAGGGTGTATTTTCTAATTATATTATAAAAGTTTATGTAATGTAATATTTGAATTAAAATTAGGTAAAGATGTGAAAGACTTTGATATGATTAAAATAAAATAACTAAACTTAGCCAACATTTTTTTCTGTTTTTTTTAACAATTTGAACTCGATATATAAATATAATATATATATATGTTATATTTAGTTTTTTTAAATTTTAAATATCGGTTATAGAAAACATTTAAATTACCAAGGAGTTTAATTTACAAGACCTACAAATATGTAAAATATCACTTATATAATGCAGTAAAAAAAATCCATTGGCAGATTCAAGGTATCTGTATGACTTTCGAATTATGTAAATACGACAGGACCGTTTTATACAAAAAAAAAACAAAAACAGAAATTGCGGGAAGTAAACACTTTTGAGAGTTGAAGACATTTATTACAAAAATCAAAATATAAATTAATAGTATGTTTGTCAAATTTTGTTATATTACTTTCCCTTATACACAAAATTTAATTGAAAAACTAATGAAAAAAATTTTCGCTTTGACAATGTAGAAGATACTAATCTATTTTTTAAGAACTATGTATATGCCACTTGTTTTCTAACTTATTCGTAATATGCAAAACCACAATCAAAATAGGTTTCACGATTGGATCAGATTTTGCACTTGCCAAATATATATCATATATTGTCACTAATATGGAATCCACAAGCTGTGCATAACGTTTTTGATTTTGCTATCTCATATCTCAGTTAATATATAACAAAAAGCACCTTTTAAAAATCTTTTTTCATTTAATAAACCAAAAACTCAATTTCTGAGTTTGTGTTATTTTGAACAAAACCACTGCACATAATAAATAATATTTTAAATTAATAAATATTTGAGATAAAAATAATATTTATATATTTTCCAGATATTTTTGTTCTCTAGTATTACATATTACATATACTACTTTTAAAGCTGTTAAATTGTTAGTAAATCAATTTAGTAAATCAAATTTAGTAAATCAAACTTGTTTCCCGTATTGTGAAGAAACTTTTCCCTATGTAAAAAAACAATACACCTATTACTCAAATATTCCTAATGTAAAGAATCTAAAATTTTTTTTGCAATATAGGGTATTGCAAAGTGTTCGAAGCCAGATTTTTTAGTGCACTCTGTTCTTGACATAAAATGTTAAGGGTAGCCATGTTTATCCACTTCTGTTTTTAGTTACCCCCATTTCGTAATACACATTACCTGCAGTACATAATTAAGTTTTTAGATTTAGGATAGACTTTATTTTTGTTTAAAGCTAAGAACATTGAAAATACGTTTTTGCAAAAAAATGATAATAATTCCAGACTCATTTGGGAGTGCACAACTTTTTTTAAGCTCATGTTTGTTTATATTAAGCATATATATAATATTTATATTAAACCAGTTTGTATTATGTCAGTCGATTAGTGTTCGGAAATATTCCACTCCTAAATTCTGTCGATCCGATATATCCTTATGAAAAGAGGACGAATGTAAAAATAAACCGAAGCAACATCTCCCTCCATTTGTAGTCATGCAGAAATGTTAACATACAAACATGTAAGAATCATTTGTGTTTCCTTTTTAGAAAATAATTATAGATACGATAACATAATAGATATTTTAACAGCTCATTGTTTCGTCTGAAGGGATTTCTTTGGGACTAATTTGCACTTAAAAAAATAATTTGGTTGATTTAATTAGATTCTAACTAAATCTTAGGTTAAAATATTCTTGTTCGACGCTTCATGGTGATTCGAGCATACTACATGTGGGTTTGTATATCTTTTTTACCACATGAACTAAAATTTTTCTAACAAAATGATCAGATCAATTTAACTTGTATGTAGTTAGAGCATATTTTTCTGAGTGTGGATATAGATAAATTCCTTTAACTCCAAGGAGGAGTGTAGGACGGCTGATTCCTTTGGATACTCCTTGGTATTCTATTGGGGTTCTTTGGGACTCCGATAGCTATTATAGTACAAAGTTAATCGGACTTTCTTTTATATTTGAAGTAGGGTTATTAAGAACTTCGAGCAGCTCTATTATAGGAATTTTATAGAGATTTCTGTCATCCGATCTTACCAAAATCATAAAGCTACTGGATGCTTCTCCAATGAATCATACAAAGCGGCCTTAAAATCTTATACGTTAAGGCTGAGATCAACTAGCTTATAACTAATGTTGTTCTTATCTGTGTGCTTTAGAAACCTATGAAATTAAGGTCATCTTTTACTTGAGTTGATGTAAATATATTGAAAAAGTCTCTAATATAGACTGGAATATTTGTGTACTTAACGAAAATAGTGATTTTATTTTACCAAAGTTTAGCCTCTTAGCACAAGATTAGTATGTAAAATAAGTCGTTAAAAGGCATACTACGATATTAATTTCAAATTTGTTGTTGTAAATATAATTGAATAGTTGATATCTATTAACGATGGGGAAATATCAAGTTATTAAATAAATAAAAATAATAGACCTCGTAATTATTGATCGATTCGATTGTTCGATTGTTTCGTACAGCCCCATAGCTGTATGCCATACTTCCAAATCGGTTTCACGATAGATAGATAAGTCAGTCTATTACAATATAAATTATTGACAATGATGTCCAATTAGCCAATACATTTGTCGACATTTGTATTTGATTTGGTCGGATTTCTGTTTGACATGATGTTTCCAGTTAAGTTTATTATCAAGATGTAACCCAAGGTATTTTGATGTTATCAAGATGAAATTAAAAATATTTTAAAACATTTTAAGGAAAAGTTCTAAAATTTTAAGAACCCAATGTTTTATGTAACAAATATGTAATAATACTCATTAACAAATGCAAATTATTATATTTAATATGTGTTAAGTAGGATTACTTGGTCTTAGTATTTGGTAATGAATAAAATAATAAAGAAATATTTTGCTGTAATTTTTTTTATATGTATATTAAAACAATGTGGATAAATTAGTGAAACCAATGTGAACACTTTTTTCACTTTAATAATTCTTCAAGCAACTCGAAAATATCTTTGCTTCCTGTCTTTAAGAGATATTTTTTTGACATACGTTGTGTGCACTATTTCAGAATATCAAAACTTATATTAGTGTAATCCCAAAATTTTTTAAAAAAGCTAAACAGTAATAAAAATAATTATTAAGATACGAACAAAAAAGAAAATCACGTGAACGTCTGTCTGCATAACATAATTGAATCACAAACTTAAATAGCAATCAACAATCGATTTTGCGCCATTTTGCTACCACATACCTCGTAAGAACCCTTAATATAAAAAAGCAAAGACTGCATCCATCCCGCCGAATTTAGATAAATTATTAGGTCTTTCGTGTTTACCAATGAACAGTCTGATAAACTTAGAACTAAAACGTTCTTAGCCTCAATAATATTGATGCAGCTATTATAATTTATACATTTAAATAATATGATAAATATATTTTACATACTCTTAATTTTTTAATATATTGCTTTCGAAATGATGCTGTCAAGTCATACCGTCATACAGTTCATGGACAACCCTTTATTTTTTGAGAACTACATAAATATAAAGTTTCATAAAATGCTTCAGTGCCATAAAAATCTTTAGGTTTGGAGGCAGAAACTGTTTTCAGAATCCAACACTCACTTCTCATAGTCGCTTTTCTGCAATTTTAAAAATATATACTGTTCCACAAAATCATTAAATTCTATTAAATTCTATTCCAAAAGTATTCTATTCAATCGTCTTTAGTAACGTCTCTTTGTGTTTCATTTTTAGGTTTAGTTGGGTTATCAAACAAAATGTAAAAAGCGTTTAAATAATATAATCTTCCTGATATCAAAAATTCCCATCATATTTGTTCTGTTAATCGCTTAGATATTGCATTTTATAACGTGTAGTCACCAGTGCTAATTAATTAATGCTAAACTTGACATTATTCTACGCTTCATTAATTTGTGTTATCCAACTTTACTCAATCTCGTGGAAAAGTAGTACGGTTTAGTGCAAATATTTCCTTTGGTCGACCGCATAATAACTTTTAAGTTAATACAGTTTTTAGGTGGTGACATGCAAAATAATGCATAAAAATAACTGCATTTCAACCCTGTTACAGTAGTTTTCTCTTCACTTGTATGTGAACTGCTCGTGGCGGTGTCAGCGGCAATTGTAGAAATTAAATTATTTTTATTTGATAACTTAAAAACAGAAATTAGCCACGTCAATGACTGTGCCGATACAATCTTGATACTGCGCTGTACCTCCCACTTTTTGCGTACACAGCATACACTTGGCTACACGCTTATTTAAAGACGATCAAAAATGTTGAAAAGTGCCGCGTGACCGACATACGTTCCCATCGTTTTGGAGAAAACAATTTCCCGAGGCGAGAAAAACCGCTGCAAACAATTGAACAATTGGACAATATGTTGCACGTTCCACAAGCGACAATGAAACGGAAAAACAAACCTTTTCATTACCAGTAATTTGTGCCGAACAACCAAAAACGCCGCTCAGATAAACACACATCCTTGCTGTGATCTACCGCGTTGACAGTAATCAGTTTTGATGCGCGCACATCTATTCAAAGGACCCTTCATGTATTTTTTGAACTACTTTTTTTATGTTATAAAAATCTGACAACTTTAAGTGCAATCTTGTTACAAAGCAATGTAAACACGATTGTTAATTTAACTTTTATAAATGTTTGTACAATTCAACATATATATGAACATAACCACCCTACCTTAG